GAACCTCAACGTGACACTTGACCAAATTGACTTAACAGATACCTACAGAACACTCCACCCAACAACCACAGAATACACATTCTACTCATCACCACATGGAATGTACCCTAAGATTGACCACATCCTTGGCCATAAATTAACCATAAACAAATTCCATAAGATAAAATACTGTCGTGCACTTTCTCAGACCACAGTGAAATAACAATAAATATCAACACCAACAAAGTTCCGCCAAAATCCATAAAGACATGGACACTAAAGAGCATGATGCTAAACAACTCCTGGGTCAACATGGAAAGACATAGATTAAAAGATACCTGGAAACAAATAAAAAAGAAGAAACATCATACCAAAACCTCAGGGAAGCCATGAAAACAGTACTAATAGGGAATTAATATCTCTATGAACATACATGAAGAAAATGGAAAGATCACAGGTTAACAGCCCAACAAATCACCTAAGGAAGCTGGAAAAGCAAGACCACCAAAATCCTAACTTTAGCAGAAGACTCCAGATCACCAAATAAAAGCCCAAATTTGGGACATAGAAGACAAAAAAATAATAAAAAAAATCAATGAAGCCAAACGTTGGTTCTTTGAAAGGATAAACAAGATTGATGGACCCCTAGCTAGACTGACCAAGAAAAAAGCCCAAAATAAATACAATCAGAAATGCAAAACATGAAGTCACAGTTGACCCTGAAGAAATACAAAAGATTATCAGAGATTACTAAGTACACCTGTATGGTAACAAACTTGAAAATCCAAATGAAATGGAGGACTTTCTGATATCACACAACCCCCCCAGGTTAAAACAAGAAGAAATTGAGACCCTAAATAAACCAATAACAACCCAGGAAATTGATTGTGTCATAAGAAAACTATCTACCCCCTCCCTAAAAAAAACAAAAACCAAACAAACAAAAACAACAAAAGAAAATCCTAGACCAGGTGGCTTTCCAGAAAAATTCTGCAAAACATACAAGGAGGAGCTGATACCAATCCTACTGAAAGTATTCCAGGCTATTGAGAGAGATGAAACTCTCCCCAAATGTGAAGTTAACATCACATTGATACCCAAACCGGATAAAGATCCAACAAAGAAAGAAAATTACAGGCCAATATCCTTGATGAACATAGATGCTAAAATTCTCAACAAGATTCTAGCCAACCAGATCCAACAACACATCTCAAAATCATCCACCATGACCAAGTAGGCTTCATCCCCGGAATGAAAGGCTGGTTCAACCTCTTCAAGATCATAAACATAATTAAATACATCAACAGATGTAAAGACAAAAAACCCCACATGATTATATCACTAGATGTTGAAAAAGCTTTTAATAAAATACAGTACCCCTTCTTGATAAAAACCATCGAACATCTAGACATAGATGGAACACTTCAAAATAGTAAGAGTCATCTACGAGAAACCCACAGCCAGCATACTGATAAAACAGACAGAAATTGGAAACATTTCCCCTGAAAACTGGAACAAGACAAGGATGTCACTCTCACCCCTCCTGTTCAACGTAGTATTGGAAATCCTAGCTAGAGCACTCAGACAAGAGAAGGAAATTGGATATCCAAAAAGGAAAGGGGGAACTTAAATTATCCCTCTTTGCAGATGATATGATACTTCGAAAACGCAAGAGAATCTGTCAAAGACCTCCTTGCTCTGATAAAGGACTTTGGAGAAGTCTCAGGGTATAAAATGTGTAAAAGTCAGTCACATTTCATATACTAACAATAAACAAACAGAAATCCAAATAAAAAGCACAATCCCATTCACAATAGCTACACACAAAAAAAGAAATACCTTGTCATCTTCCTAACCAGAGAAAGGAAAGGCCTTTACAATGAAAACTACAAAACAGTGCTCAAAGAAATCAAAAGATGACACAAACAAATGGAAAAATATTCCATGCTATGGATTGGAAGAATCAACATTGTTAAGATGTCCATCCTATCTAAGGCAATCTACAGATTTAATGCAATACCCACTAAATTAACAGCAGCATTCTTCTGAGACCTGGAAATGACAATACAGGATTCATATGGAAACATAAACAACCACAAATACCAAAACAATCCTCCCCAAAACAACAAAGTGGGAGATATCACACTCCCAGACTTTAAGCTTTATTACAAAGCTACAATAATAAAAACAGCCTGGTATTGGTACAAGAACAGGCATATAGACCAATGGAACAGGATAGAGATTCCGGAAGCAAAACCTCAATTTCTCAACCAATTTACATTTGACAAAACCTCCACCACCAACCACTGGGGATAGGAGAACCTATTTAGTATAGTGTCCTGGGAAAACTGGTTGACCACATGTAGAAGAATAAAATAAGACCCCTACCTATCACCACACAAAAAAAATCAACTATAAATGGATCAAAGACCTAAATGTAAAACCTCAAACTATAAGAACCTTAGAAAACGTAGGAGACACCCTTTTGGAAATTGGAACTGGCAATCAATTCCTGATGAAAACCCCAGGTGCCCATGCCATAAGAGATAAGATAGACAAGTGGGATCTCATCAAACTGACAAGCTTCTGCAAAGTCAAAGAAATAATTGAGCAGGGAATCAGCCCACAGAATGGAAAAAAAATATTTGTCAACTGTATATCTGACAAAGGTCTAACGTGTAGGATCTACAAGGAACTCAAATGTGCTGAAAAGGAAAGGAAAAAAAAACAAAACAAAAACAGTCCCATTACAAAGTGGGCAAAACATGAATAGACACTTTTCAAAAGAAGACATACGATCAGCCAACAGATACATTAAAAAAATGCTCAGCCTCGGTAGTCATCAAAGAAATGAAAATTAAAGTCACACAGATACCACCTAACTCCAGTCAGGATGGCCATCACCAATAACTCAAAAAACAACAGATGCTGGAGAGTATGTGGCGAAAAGAGAAAACTTCTGTACTGTTAGTGGGAGTGTAAACTAGTACAACCTCTGTGGAAAACAGTGGGCGATTCCTGAAAGATCTAAAAATAGGCCTCCCATATGACTCTGCAATCCTCCCACCGGAAATATACCTGGAGGAACTCAAATTACTCTATGAAAAAGATACCTGCACATGCATGTTTATCGCAGCATTATTCACAATAGCAAAAACTTGGAACCAGCTGTGCTGCCCATCAAAAGAGGACTGCATTAAAAAAAATGTGGTACATATACATGATGGAATATTATGTAGTTATAAATAAGGACAAAATTATGAACTTCACAGCAACTTGTATGAACTTAGAGTCTATAATTCTGAGTGGTTTATCACAGAAAGAAAGAATCAAGTAACACATGCTCTCACTCTTAAGCGGATCTTGAACTATATCATAAGCGGATCTTGAACTATCATAATTCCATAAGAAATGGATTGGCTTAGCGGGAAACTGCCAGGGGAGGGCGGGGGTAGGATTGGCAGTAGTGGGAAACTGCCAGGGGAGGGGGGCACACCCCATTAACAGGTATACCTGCATAATGACATTTGTATACCTAATCCTGAATTGTACCCCACATATTTAAAATAATTTTTTTTAGAAGAAATAAAAAAATAGAAAAGCTAAGTATGAAAAGGTAAATCACAACTGGGAGAGATATTTGAAACCAATAAGAAAATAGTTTAACAGCCTCAATACATAAAATATTGTCCAAAAAACTAATTTCAGAAATGTTGAGAACACAAGATCAGGAAAAATATTGGGTTGAAAAATAATGTGAGAATAATAAGCATGAATATGCTTTACCACACTGGCTGTCAAAGAAATAAAAAATTAAAACTCTAAGAACAGTTTTCTCAAATTGGCAAGGACTAAAAATAACCAATAATAGTACAAGTTAATGGGGATTCAATCAGTTGGTCATTCCCATGTGTTGCTTTAATTGATACTACAGGCTCAGTTCCTTTATCTGAAATCTTTAGAGACCTGCTTCAGACTTTGTAATTCCTTAAAGGTTGAAAAAGAAAGAAGGTACATGTAGCGTATATTAAGCAGAACCTCCAGCCTGATAAGGGGTAGTACACCATCATCAAACATATTAATATTTTTGTAGCTACACATATAAATACTCACAAGAGTAGGATAAATTAAAGACTCAAAACAGACTTATTTCTGTTGAAGACAGTTTTGCCACAAAAGAGTTAAGGTTAGATTTTGCTGCAGAATGAGTTATGAACAAATTAATGGTTTTCAGAGCTTCTTAGATTTTGAAACTGTTGAGAAAGAATCCTGAACTGTTCATACATCTTCCTGAAAGTCTATTTGGCCACATAATTATAAATTTAGACTTTAACAGGTTCATACATTTTGACCTACTTCTAGGAGGAATAAAACAGAAACATACAAAAAGAGTTATGCTCAAGGATGGACATAATAATTTTATTTAGAATAATAAAAATGGAATCAGCATGAAAGTCTAACAACAAAATAATGGTTATATTATGAGACAGTCAAATAAAGGGATATTATATGACCATAAAAATCATTTGAGGACACTTAATGATTCAGGAAAAGGCTCATTACTTATTGTTGAATGAAAAATAATCAAACTTCACAGTACTCAGTGGGATGCCAATTAAAAAATACATATATTTGTAGAAAAAAAGATGAAGAAAAATAAACCAAAATATTTATAGAGATTATAGCTAAACATTAGAATCATATGTGATTTTTTATTATATAATTATGTCTTTCAAGTTTTTTAGAACAAGCAAGCAATTCTTTTATAATTATTAAAGTAATTTTCTACATAAGATTTATCTTATTAATCCCATTACTTGACAGAGCGCATAATGCAACCCCTGGCAGGGGGTTCAACCAGTAGAGATGGAGAGAATGACTCTGGTTGGCTCTTGCCCATGCATTGCCACTCTCTTAGAGGATTTTAGCTCATGGTGCCAAAGCCCTGAATGAGACCGCTAGTTCCTCAGCTTAAATGGGGGACAACAATTATTTGCTATGAAATCATAGGCATAACTTACTTGACACCTGCTGAAAAGCTCATCACAGGGAAGAAGAGCCCATCAGTGTTGAAGTTCTCAAACATCCCCTGCACAGGCTGCCCATTGATGCGGAAAGAGATGCTGGGCACTCCAAGGTCCAGACAGCAGCTCACCACGTCATCTGATCTTAGGAGGTGCTGGTTGATGGAGGCCACAGCCCTGGGTATCCGGCCTGGTGAAGAAAGAACAGGAAGAAGACTGTGGAGCTCTCGGGGCACCTGCCAGGTTGGAGGAAAGACTCAGAGGCCACAAGAGGAAGCAGGTAGGGGGTGTGATGGGTACACAGGAGGCCCAGATGCACGACGGCATTTGAAATGCAACTTTGTTTTTCATGTGAGCAACAAGAAATGATTTTTTTTTTTTTTTGAGTTAGTCTCACTCTGTCGCCCAGACTGGAGTGCAGTGGCCGCTCCCGGCCACCACAGCCTCGACCTGCTGGGCTCCCGTGATCCTTCCGCCTCAGCCTTCCGAGTAGCTGGAATTACAGGCATGCGCTACCACGCCCAGCTGATTGTTTGATTTACTGTAGAGATGAGGTCTCGCCAAGTTGCCCAGGCGGTTCATGAAGAGAAATGATTTCTTAAGCCGGTGAGTAGGCAGACACCATGCTGGAAATGAGATGAGTCTAAGGGGAGATGTTCAAGTTGCTGAGAATGAAAACTACAAGAATCAACCGGCTCAATGTGTGCTCAGATTCTGGCCTAGTGTCTCACGTAACAGACAGTCTGCTTTGGCTGGTAGAGGTCTTCTGAGATAGGGTGTGTGCATGTCTGTTTAGTCATAGGTGCCCAAAAGCATTTCTGTCTTCCATTTCCTCAGATAGGTAAGGCTATTCTAGCATTGGACACAGCCTATCAAAGCAAAGAGTGGGAAGACCATCTAGCCATTAATCGTGCAGTGCAAGTTGCTTATTTATTTTAAAGAACTCAATTATTTCCGATAACCAGGAACACACATTGTCAGTTATACTTTGCATTGGTGATTTAAAATTTTTTTTGCATTTCTTTTATAAGATGGCTTATCATTTACTGATTTAACTTAAAATAGTGAGGAAACCACCTCTCTGCTTTTCTATCTCATATCATCATAGTATGGAAATTCTAAAAGTTAATAATCAAAACCATTTAACCCATCTCCCTACCAGGTATATACTTCTATTAGGAAGAGACCAAAAAAGGGGCAGAAATTAGGTACTGAAAGATAAAAAGACATCTTGTCTCTTGATTACAGAATACATGTTCATTATAAATATTTACATTTATATAGAAAAGCATAAAAAAGAAAACTATAACGCCATAAAATGCTTCCAAACACACACACACACACACACACACACACACACACACACACACACACACACATCTTTTTATCCAAACTGGGATATTGTAAGCTTTGTAGCTTGTTTTTTCTACTAGTCATATCAAAAACACTTTGTTGTCTAATAAACTATTAATAGTAAACTGAATTTTAATTCAGTTTCATATAATATAAAAAGGTATTTTTAAAAAATCCCCTCCTGATGGGTATGTGAGTTATTTGTATATCTTTCTTTGCTATGTAATATATCTAATCTCAGATGAAAACTATTTAATGTTTTCAGTGGTTACTGCTATTCTAGTATTATTTATAATATAAAAATTGGCCAATAAATAATATATATTCTAGTATATTCTATATTATTTTTTGGTAATTGACAAAGCCATATTATATTCTCTCCCACATTTCCACAAACAGCAATGAGATACTCTACTCTCAGGTGTGCAGTCATTACCTTCTAGAGGTAGAGGCAGTCTCCAGGTCTGTCTAGGAGCATGAGACAAATTGAGACTTGGAGGATGAAAGCCTGACTAGATAAGTGTGTGTGTGTGTTTGTCTCTCTCTCTCTCTCTCTCTCTCTCTCTCTGTGTGTGTGTGTGTGTGTGTGTGTGTGTGTGTGTGTGTGTGTGTGAGAAAGAGAGAGAAGGAGAGAGAGAGAACAAAAGAAGTATGCTAATTTGCAGAATGGCTAGAGTGTAGTAAGGCTGGAAAATGTGGATTGATAAGGGTTGGATGAGGAAGATGTGGTTTGTCAATCAAGTTGAACAGGAGTGTTGATCTTGGACCACATGCATGGCAGGAGTGCCACCCCATACAATATACTCAATGCATATTGGGAAATTAGTCTGGGGTGGCCTTAGACTCTGTTTTTGTAACTTTAGTACCTTGCTTCACAACTGAGAAAGAGGAACATGTTCTTTATTGTAGCACCTATAATCAAAATGATTTAAAAACCAAACAAAACTGAGCCAAAGTTGAAGCATGAGTAGGCTTGACACCTTTCAAATTTCTCCATTTGAGTAGAACGAGTCCTACTAGCTCATTGTGTGAGTTTAGATATTCTTCCTTCTGTTCAAGTCTGTTATGAAAAAAAATCTATGATATGAAAACTCAGCAATGCTTGCTATAATTGTCTCACTCTTAAGATTTATCTTGCCATTAAAAACAGTCTTTCCTGCACAAAATGTCTTTTTTTCATTAGTTTAACTTCTGGAAAATATCACTGTAGTCATTTGAGCAAATTCAAACAGATTTCTGTAAATTTGGGAATACCAGGAAATAATTGAAATGCTACATTGGACAATTACCTTTAAAAGTATTCAGATCCTTGTTGGATAAAAATAGAAATTATAAGGTCCTTTACCTTTTGAGAATCATATAATCTGGGACAAAACTGCTAGTGTCGAATTGTGATTCCAGCATCCTCTTGCCTCATCCTCTCAGAGTTTTCTGTTGGCTAGCTTCAGCCAGTAAAGACAAAAACCAGCTTTCATGGGGGGTTGCTCTTCAATTATAGTAGTGCTTTGATACCACCAGGAGCTGAGTTCTGAACTTTATTTAGCCTGTAATATGCCAAAGTTGCCAAGTGCCTTCCAGAGGAACGGTGGCTAGAAGAATTTCTCCCATCTGGCTTGCTCTCTTCATTGAAAACAACAGCTAGGACCAGTCATTATGCCCTTGTGGGGGAATGACACTGCCACTTCCCTCCCTTGTTTTACGAGACTGGGTTCCAAGTAGAAGTTTCCTTTGGGATATTCATTAAGATTATTTATAAACAAACTGAAATCACAGGCTGGTCCTATTTTTAAAACACATAAGGAACAGAGTTGAGACTAATATTATCTAGTAACTATAGGGAAACTGTTGATAATTACTAGATATGAAGTATATACTTAGGAAGAGCTTAGAGTAAAGTGAAGGGAAGGCTATTTGAATAAAAGGACCCATTTAATATAATATTCATGTTTTAAAAGGTCATTTGATGAAGTATATCTCATTTTTAAATTGAGTAGTGTGAAGAGCTTGGAATTGGAAAACGATGCAATTGTGGGATTGCTCTGTTTTGTAAATCTGCTCCCATGTAGAAAAAGCAATCTTTGGCCACTGTGAGAGCTCTCAAGGCTCCAAATGATTAGAAAGGGTCCTATATCCCATATTTCAAAAATATGCAAATCTTTTCAATTGATCTGTAATGAGGTAGCACAGAGGAGTGAGAGAGATCTTGGAGTCACACATAACTGAGATCAAATTCCAACTCTTCACCTACTACATGAACCTAGGTCTATGATTTTACTGGAGCTCAGCTTCCCCATCTGTGAAATATGCATAGTCATCCACAGTGATGCTATAAAGAGAATTATTTGTAAGGTACCAGTATTGTTCCTATGATTTTGATGAAACACATGAATGGTGTCCTGTGTACCACTCAAGAGGCAGTATAGAGTAGTGGTTAAGTGGAGTTTCTAGACCCATACTGCCTGGGTTTGAGTCTTGGTTCTGTTACTTACTGTGTGACCTTGGACAAGTAACTTAACCTTGTGGACTCAAGTTTTCTCATTTGCCAACTGGGAATAACAATAATGTCTACCTTACAGGGTTGCTATGAGTTGAGAAATAATTAATCCATGTAAGAGTGATTAGAAGAGTGGTTGACACATTGTAACCCACAGTAAATGCTATCGTTATTGTTTTTGTTTTTAACTCCAGAAACCTTAATTACTAGGATAGCAATAAAAAAGCTTGCCAGAACAATGTAGAAATATTATACCTGTTGTAATATATGGAAAGAATAACAAAATGGAAAATTATAACATTGAAGCCTGATTCCAAAGAGTGATTTAAAATCTACTCTCTTTAATGAAAGATAGTACTCAAAAATAGATACTTTCCAATATGTTTAGTTTGTGTGACCCTTTTAGAATAACTAACAGAAATGGGATTCTGTAGAATGAAAAGAAAAACTTGCTTCAGAGAGTGTTTCTAAGATATCAGATATCCTGAGTAATTTGTTCACTGAGAGAGGCCAGTGGTAGCTGTCTCTGCCAATTTGAAGAAGAAATGTCCCCTGATTTAGAGGTTCAGGCCCACCTCAAGGGCTCAGGAAGCTCAGAAAGGCTATTCCAAATCCAGCATTATAAGATTAAAAAACACCACCTAATCATATGCTGCACATCTTAAAATTAACCCAAGGATATATTACTGCGGGATTTTGTTTCTTCTGATGAGTAATGTGGGCAACTGGAAACAGTAATGCTTAGCATTTCCACAGGCCCAGGCACTGCAGAGTTTGGCATTATAATATGAACACAAATATTTGTCTTTGGGGACAGACTCCAAAGACATAAAAATGCTACTATTCTTTAGCTTCTCCCCAGTTCTTCTCTACATAGTACTGAGCTTGAAAAGGTCTGAGTCAGACTGGGCTGTGTTTTATAGACAAACCCTGGGACTCATCTTGGTAGGGAGACAGGTGACGTTCCCTTGAGCAGATTTGACTGCAGAGCCAAATTATCTTGATGAGTCAGTAGTCTTAATAAATCCGGAAACACAGTTTTATTCCACTCATTCACTTCAATATCCCTCATCTCTTGGGAAGGTAAAAGTTTATTCCAATTCTGCGGGGGTCAAATAGTAGTTTAAAAGGAAGAGGAGGTCTTATTTTCTCCCATAAAACTTCCCCCCAGCCAGTAACATACTGTAGGCTGCTTTGAGCTGAATTCATTCCCAACTGTTATCCTAAAGGCCCATGGAGACTATGTCAAAAGAGGGTGATGATGCTACCGCAAAAAAAGACCCATTCCTCCAAAAGGAAAATCATAGGATTCCATAGGGAGACACGGGCAGGGTTGAGAGGGAGGGTTTTCCAGAGCTAATGTCTGAAAGGGACTTCATAAGCTTTCATGGCTAAAAAGATCTATTATGGCTGTCCTCCCCTCCACAGAGAAAAGTCTCATCCATATTCCTAAAATGTAACTTTGAAACTTTTTCCCATTCAGCATAGGACTGGGGTTTTTCATCCTCTTAGATATTACTGGGGCAGCTTTAACTGGGATACTCTCTTGGTCTTGAGTGAAGTACCCACCAGGACTCTGGATTTGGTCTTTAAGACTATGGTGGACCTCATAGACAATAAGGGATGGAGATATTTATTATGTGCCTAATTTGTGTCAGGAATTTCATATTACTTATCTCATTTAAATTTTATAACAGTCTTATATTATCCTTATTTTATTTGAGGAAAATTGAGTCTCTGAAAGGTTAAATAATTTGTCCAGTGTAAAAAACAAACAAACAAACCATTAAGTGGCCAAGCTAAGATTCAAACTCAGGCATAACTCCAAGGCCACACTGTTTGCTCTTGACTCTTTCCATTGACAAAGTGTTAGAGGCACTGTAATTCTTTCCAACTACTGAAAAATCGATTGTACTTTAATAAGTATGTTAAAGACCAGTTCAAGTCAGTGGCTTAGTTTATGCACACAGATAACTTTAAAGGTAATGGACCAGGGCATTTAAATTTCAAAGAAAAGGAGAAAAATTGGCATGACCACTTTTCAATATCTATCCCTAACCACCCACCATTTCTTCCTGTAGTAAGTTGAAATGTTATGTCCATTTCATTTCTTCATCAGATAATTACCCTTTCATCAGAGAGTCTGAAATTCACTGCTGTCCTGGGGGTGCTTATTAACAGAAACCTTAGTTCTTCAGCTGGAGCACACATTGACATACCTACCTACAGTGCCTTCTGTGAGATATATATTCCCTGTGTGCTGGTTGGAGAAGTTAGAATGATGCCCAGACCCAAGAAACCTTTGGACTTTAGTGAGAATGAAAGGCGTAATTCTTGTAGGCACTTGCTTTTCCCCATGTAATCAGATGCTGGAGACCGAGGCATGAAGTCTCTTGAATGCACCTATGTGTCGTAACATCACCAAGTGCAGGTGATGTTCAGAGAGCAACAATCAGCCTTTGAAAAGCTGATGTAATGTGGGCAACTGGAAATAGTAATGCTCAGCATTTTCATAGGCTCAGGCAGTGCAGAGTTTGGCATTATAATATAAACACAAATATTTGGGCAGCCCTCTTCCCTCTTTTCCAATTATAAGACTCATTGCTAGTGGGGTGTATCCAGAACGTCCAGCTTCCTTGTCTTCAGAGGAGACAGCAGCACTGTACACAATTAGAAAGGATGTTCGGGCTCTGAAACACACAGATAGTATCCCTTCAGGGATATACCATGAGTGGGTTCTCTGCCCTCCTGACTCACTGATGTATTCATTCCTCAAAAGTCTACAAAAGAATACAGGGAGACGGTAAGTGTCCCCGTGAAGTGCTGTAAAGTCTGGAATAGACTAAGTACTTTTTTCCTTTGAAACAAGGGTTTAATTTTCTTCATCCAAGGATCTAGGTGTGCTTCTTTTTTCCTTAACCAGTCTCCATGTATTGTCCTCTTCAGATGTAGCCTGGGCTCCAGAGAGCACTATTAGGTTGTGGTGGCAAGATAGCAGAAGATGAGCAGTGAGCAGTGAGCAGCAGGAGCGTGGACATGATTTTCACAAGCCAATCCCATTTGTGCCCCCACAGATTAGACCCTACCACACTCAGGAGCTGCAAATACGTGTGAGCATAATGATTCTCTCTACCCAAATCACTTTTCCAGAGACAGCTTTCTGAGAACCTTATGACATCTGATGATGACCTAAACTAAAGGCTATTACTTTATAGCCACAAACTCAGTGGCTCTGTGATGCAACTGTGAGAATAAAGAAGGGAACATCAACCCTTCTGTGAATGATTACGAAAGGCTAAGTTGGGAGGAGGAGAGAACAAGTTAAGACTTTCCCTTCACCCTATCCCATCATACTGACATTTTCCATCTGCTTTTGTCTTTACCATGTTGTCCTCTGGGACACACAGAACATGGACTGAGAATTTCTCATTCTTCCCCCTCGGGAATGATCCAGGATAAATAAGTATACAAATAAATACATTTACAACATTCTTAAGAGGTTTAAAATGTTCTTTTAAAAATTATAAAAAACCCCAAATGGACCAATTGAAAAATAAAGCCCAATTAAAAGAAGCTCATCATCAGGATCTGAGCCAACTTAATCGCTAACATTAGGCAATTAGGTTTTATCCAGAATGCTAAAGGAACAAGAAAAATGTGATGGGTTATGTAGTTCCCAGTTACAAATGAAAATATATAGGTTCATCTTGTAGAGATAAACTTTTCCCTCATACTGGATTTGAGGAAGAATGTGTGTCATGGCTTCTTATGTAAGAGGCATGCAGTACAATGCCTACGTAAGGGATTCTATAAGGGATACAACATCTACAGTTTTGCAAAAGATATAGGAAAGACAGACTTTGGAGACAGATTGGAGAGGTAGAGTCTTGTTTTTGGTGAAAGTCTAAAAGTTAGTCTTGCATTTTTCACCCAGGCATGAGCCACAGACACACTTGGGAAAATCATCAATATCTATTTCTTAAAAAAAGGAAACTTTGAATTCTCTCTCTCTCTCTTTTAATCAGAGTGTCACTGTTGCCCAGGCTGGAGTGCAATGGCATATTCACGGACACCACAGCCTTGGCCTGCTGGGCTCAGGCGATCCTTCCACCTCAGCCTTTCAAGTAGCTGGAACTACAGGCACGTGTCACCATATCCAGCTAATTTTTTGATTTACTGTAGAGATGAGGTCTCACCAAGTTGCCCAGGCTGGTCTCAAACCCTGGGCTCAGACAATCATCTTGCCTTGGTCTTCCAAAGTGTTGGGATTACAGGTGTGAGCCACTGCACTCAGCCAGCCTTGAATTCTTTTCAAGAGTTTAGAACCTACTATGGGTCAGGCACTAATTCACACATTTTATAAATTGTTTCAAGAAGCAGTGGACTGCATGGACAAGATTATGGACTTGTAGTCAGATCTGGACCCTTTCCAGTGTGATGCTGAATATATTACTTAACTGTCTTTGCGCCTCAGTTTACACACTTGTAACAGAAGGTCAGTATTTTCTAACTTACAATGTCATTGCAAGGATAAAATGAGAGAAAAATGTACAAAAATACCTAGTGAATAAATTATTTCCTGTCTGCTCATATAATCCTAGCAATCACATACAATAGCAATTGTACAGATACAGAGACTGAGCTTGAGAAAAGTTAAGTGATCTCCATTAGACCACGTAGCTAGGAACTGTCAGAGTAATGGTATAAATGAGTCTCATTTACTCCTCATACTCTTTCCACCTAACCATCTAATTAATTGAGACTCCAGTTTGTATTAGTTCAACTGAAAGTGACAACTTAGGCTTGAACAATTTGAGCTTCCATCATTTCCAGTGACAGATTAGGGGCCAACGCTTTGGCAAAGTACTCACCAGACCAAAGGTGAAGTCCATCAAATCCATAGGAGTACAGGTCATCACCAACACCATTGCCTCCCCATCCTTCTCCACCTCCTGGGTATGGGGCATAGCCTGAGGAAGAGGCCCAGCCCACACGCAGATGTGTGGGTTCTGGTGTTAGAAAGGGGTCCACCTGGTCAATAATCAGTTCGAAGTACCACTTCTTGTACTGGGCTGAGCCCTCTGCAACTCCCAGGAAGATGTTTGGTCGAATACTGAAATTAAACATGGGGTAAGTGGCATCTACAAACCTTTAAGAATGGAGAAAGCAAGTTGAACCAGACTATAGGAGGTACTGGCCCAGGTAAACCCAGGACAAGAGCAATTTTATCTTTTTTACATTGTTCAAAAGTAGAAATAGCTTAGCGCTCCCAACACTTGACCAAGTTTTTAGTATGAAGCATCAGGACAACATTAATTCCATTATAAAATATAAAGGATGTCTCTTTTAATATTCAAAAATCCATTCAAGGCAACAAATATAAAGGATGTCTCTTTAGTATTCAAAATCCATTCAAGGCAGCAAACATTTACTGAATACCAACCGTGCCCAATGATGCCCGAAATGATTCACTAAAAATGTTACACAGAGTTGTATGATTACACACCTTTGTTTCTTTCTGTAAGTGAAATAAAGTGCTTACTTGACTTCTATCTTCTGGTCAATTGGTTTAAGCACCCTCATTTTCATAAGAGCAGCTTTGTGAACTAAGCATTATTAATAACACTGGCCTCTTAAGACCATTTAAGAAGTCACTACTAGACAACCTTTGTAAAGGGAAGGAAGTTGCCATGTATCTAGCAAAGTGGTTAAAAGCTTGGGACATAACTCTTAGAGTTTTTATGTCTGGAATCATATTCTTAGAGAGGAACTGTTCCTGACCTGGGGCTATGTCTTATTTGGGGTGGTCAAGGGAAAACCAAGCTGGCACCAAGAAGAAAGGAAGTCTGTGTGAAGATGCAGGTCTGTGGGCCACTCTATACTTCAGAGGGAAGATTCTTTTCATGCCACTATGGATTAGCACGTAGGCCTTGTAGTAAATGTCTTTAAAAATCTTAGGCCCACCCAGTCCAGGCCCAGTGAATTCACATGACTCACATGCGGCCACATGTATGAACTAGCAGGTTAGGGGTTCTGCATGGGCCCATGCTCATCATCCGGACCCTAGTAGACCATAGCAAGAAAGCACAGTACCAATTTGGGTCATCTATTAAAATATTTTTTTAAAAAGTTGGCATATCAAAATAAATATATCATGGGGAAGTTGTAAGAGTGGCATTAATGTTCAAAATAAACATGCTGGACCATGCCAGGCCAAATTCTTCAGCTGTCAGGTAGTATATATACTCTATCCTCAGTCACTTTCAGGGAAAAGTTTGAGAAACTCTGCTCAAAGGGTTGAAGCACAAAGCCCTGGTCATAAAAATTCAGCCTGGCCTTACCTTACGTACTTGCATCGCCATGGAAACTATGGGTAGGTGACTTTGAAGTTCAGATTAACCTTCTTTCTGCCTAGAGGCAAGATAGGCAGAATCATGTTTAGCATTTGGAGTGATGGTGGTGGCCTTACCTGGTCACATCATTAATCAGTCGTGTCTGCAGGAGCAGGTTTCTCCGGGGTAGCAAGTTGTCACAGATCAGATTCTGATTGGCTCTCACTGCGACCCCATTGCAGAGACAGAGGGAACACAGGACATCCAGAACCTGCAGCAGGGCACACCCACCAAGTCTTAAGACCTAAAGGCAGAGTGGGCAGGACCTAATCACCACTCTAATGAAGGAAGCTGGAGTCATTAAGGGTGAGGGCTAGGTGGTGGGTGAAGAACCAGCTCAGAGCCAAAGAAGCCTTACCTCCCTAGCCATGCAGGAGGGAATGGTGCCTCCGAGCCTGCTGCCTCTTGGGGAGATGAGGCTGGGCTTCCTTCTAGCCCCCGCTTCCTTGCAAACTATGCAGTGGGTGAGAGTCTAAGCACTGAAAATAGACTATCTAGGTTAATATATTAGTTAGAGCCAGGACTAGGGTGTGGTAAGGCGTGTAGGGTATAAAATCCAGCCCCTGCTCACTTTCAGTGTTCTGTAAATGCAGGTGAGCAGGATCAAAGGCCCTCCATAGGCTTCAAACTGATGGTCCATGCTCCCACTCAGCCCTGGTCCTTGGCACTGAGGATTAGTGGGTGCTCATTAGGACTCTTAATGAAAAGGTACTTAGATTCCCATTTGGCTGAGGTCTTTCTGTGTAGCAGGCTTGGGAACCTTGGGTGGGTGAGGTGATGGCAGGGCGGATTCCCATTCTTGGGCCTCTTGCTGTGATATCATCAGAACCCTTTAAGATATTCCTGGAAATCAGCAAAACCCTTTAAGATATTCCTGGAAATCAGCATTCAAGATATATCTCCTGCTCTTCTCCTCCCATCCAGAAGAACAAGAAAACTGCAAGAGCCCAGAGGGACTGTGAATCTAAGAGACTGATCACCAAGCCACCTTTGCTTCTTATTTTCCAGCTGCCTGGGAAGTGGGAAGAGTCCCTGGCTGCCTCCTGCCACACACTTGCCTCTCCTCTGCCCTCTCATTGCACTGCTTTTTTCATTCAGATTTTGTGTTCCTGTCATGGCAGAGCAAATTGTGCTGGGCCAGGCACTGTTTCTCCCTATCTCCCTCACAGGGAGGAATGTGCCAAGAGATAAATCACAGCCACCATGTGGCAGGTTGCACCAACAGGGAGGTAGATAGCCTCATTTCAGTCTCTCAAAGTGGCCACCAAAGACTCAAAGCTTAGTGAGCTTAGATGGCTTCATGTTGTTGATGGTATTTGGATCCATAATTCTCATAAACCAATTTTCTACCGGACTCCCTGAATGTCAGTTTTGTTTCAGATAAATACAAGGCACATTTATGGGACAAGCCGAAAAGATTCCCAAAGGAGGTTTTATGGGGGACTCTTAACTATTACCACCCTGTGAATGATATCAACTGTGGAAACTTGAAATCCAGAGGATAATTTTTTATTCTAAGAAAAGAGTCATAGATGGCCAGGAAATTAAAGACTTTTCGCCTGGTCTATCACATATTTTCATCTGTTTTGCCTTGAAGTGATGGCTTTGGGAGACTTGCTGTCAAAGCCAGAGGGAAAGCAAAGCTTAATCCACATACAATGAGAGCAACAAAGAAAAAAAAAAAGACACTGTAAAAAGCACATAGCTAATAGAGCAGAGCAGTGCTCATCTTTAAATAAGTAATGCCTTTTAAAGGATCACAGTTGATATTGTTTAGGTTTTATTTTAAGAGACATTTCTACAGGTAAAACTGGAGAATGGGAGCAAACTTCCTTCTCTGGAAAAGTTGAAATGGGTTCTTTTGAAAGAGAAGGGAATGTAGACAAGGTCAATCCACCATAGGGGACAGTTAGGCATTGTGCCTAGAGGTCTTCTGTACTTTCTGACTGAGAGGAAGCTCAGTGACCTCTGAAATGCGCAGATGGCTAGGCAGGTACTGCCAAGTGTTCACCAGACTCCGTTTCCCTCTCCTGTGTACACAGAGGTTACATGTTCCAGCCTTCCTTGTAGGTTTATGGGGGCATGTGACTGAGTCCTGGCCAATAGGAAGTAGGTGGACTGTCTCTTGCTTCCTCCCTCTCGCCAGCTGGATGTAGACTTCCAGCAAAGGATTTCAAAGTTCAAAGGTCTCCTTATTCCAAGTGTGCTCTCCAGACCAGCAGCACTGGCATACCTAGGAGCTTTCTAGAAATACAGATGCTCAGACTCCTCCACCCCCAGACTTAGTGAATCAGAGCCTTCATGTTTACATGATCCCCAGGATATTTGTAAGAATATTACAGTCTGTGAGGCCCTGCCTTGGGGGGGATGGTAAAACCACTAGATGAAAGTAACTTGTGTCTCTGAATGACCACAGTGAATGAAGCCCTCCCACTGACTGGCATTAGACTGTGAGCAAAAATAAATCTTTACTGTGCTAAGCCACTGAGAATATGGGGTTGTTTGTCATAGGAGTTAGGCTACCCTTATCAACAGCCCATTTTGCGGCATTTATTTGCTTTTGGTTATAATTATTTTCATCACTGGTACCATATTTCATTCAAAAGCCTCTCATTTTGCCTTTATCTCCATTACTTTCTTTCTTTTTTTTTTTTTTGAGTTGGAGTCTCACTCTGAGTGCAGTGGCTGCTCCCGGCCACCGCAGCCTCGACGTGCTGGTCTCCTGCAATCCTTCCGCCTCAGCCTTCCGAGTAGCCAGAATTACAGGCGCGTGCTACCACACCCGGCTGATGTTTTGATTTATTGTAGAGATGAGGTCTCGCTGCCCAGGTGGGTCTCGAACCCGCGGGCTCAGGCAATCCACTCACCTCAGCCTCCCAAAGGCGCGGGATTACAGGCTGAGCCACCGAGCCTGGCTCCATTACTTTCTATCCCAGACACAGATTTATGTGGGAATTCTACTTTGAGGATGAAAAAAAAAAACATATTATATACCCATGGGAACCTGGTTTGGCTGTTGTATTTTTCATTAGTTTTCATCTGTAAAAGTAGTCTTATTAAAAATGCTAACTATATTATGTGATTTTTATATAAAACCCTATATTTGAAAGAAAAAAATGACTTTGCAGTCCCTAAGAAACAGATTTTATTCTCCCAATATCTAATAACTGAGTGGTTGGGAATGGTACTATGTTGCCTTGGCTGCCTGGAAGCTCAGAACTGATTTATTGCAGCAACCCTATGGGAGGTCATGGTTAGGATGACTGCATTCTATTCTCCCTGGACACAGGCTAAAGCTTTTATTCTGATTTACATATTCTGGGGGCCAGTGATATTACTATTTCACCACATGCTAGTGTCAAAAAGGGCCCCAAATCCTTATAAAACACAGAAGATAATAAAAAAAAATTTATCTGTGACAACCTTGAGCTTGTTTGGAGTAATGCAACTTTGGGAGCAAGTAGAAAGGGCACATTTTATTTTTATTAATAGGAACTTATTTTGTTGGAAAATTATAAGGTGACTGTTACAATTTTCAGAAATTATTCATTTTTTTTTAACCAAACAATGAAATCAGTGCTACCAATTTAATGTGTTTCTTACCACTGATAAGGTATCTGTGGATGAGAGGAAGCCTGTATATATATGTGGGCTTCCATTAATTCAAGGTGATACAGGAGTGGATTCGAATGGCCCTACTCATGTGTTCCTTTTACTAATTTATTAAATCTTCAACAAACATGTATGAATGCCTGCCATGTATAAAATCTGGGCTTAGAACTATGAGGATTACAAAGATGGTCCCTACCAGGAAGGAACTTACAGTTGGTAAGAGAAATATATATGTAAAAATATCTGTAATAAAAGACAGATTGGAACAAACTTCATAACAGAGAACAAACCATATAAGGGCAGAAGAAAAAGACCAATTTCATCAGGAATCAGAAAAAGTTTCATGGAGAGAGTGGCATTTGAACAAAGTTTTAAAAAGCAGATAATAATTTATTTATTTGTGATTATTTCTAATTGACTAGGTAAGAATTTTGATGGGTCTGAGAAAAATAAGAATTTTGATGGGTCTGTGAAAAGCTGCTGAAGGATCTGCAAGAGCAAAATCACTGAGAGGTCAAAGGGCAGAGCGCATTCAGAAAACTGGAAGTGGGCATTGCAACCCGGTCCTGTCCTTTTCACTCCAAAGAATGTATTCTTTCCCTCTAACTTTTTGACTGCAAATCTGATCATGGTTTAGATAAGTAGCAATTATTTCCACGAAAAAGACACAGCTAACAACTTAATTTTATTTTAGTAAAAAAAAATGAAGGTATAATAATTGCCATCATTATATATGATGGGGACCCTCCCCCCAAAAACACCCCAGAATTATTTTTTGGAGGTCAGGTCCCATGTAATACAAGCTTCCCCCACCTGGTAAGTGATCTAGGAACCCATCGGCATCAGTATACCAGCTAGCGTTGTTGTAAGAGGCTGCATTTGGCTTCAGTGAATTTGTTTTGGAGGTTCTTTCGGCGTGTTTGCCCATTTCATGATGAGTGATTTACAAGCGCACCTACCCATGCAGCACTGAGTATTCAGTAATTTTTGACCAAAAATGGCATAATCCCTGTACCCCACCCACCTGATCTCATCCTGAGCAACTTTTTTGTTTGTTTGTTTGCTTCCCAGGATGAAAACAGTCCTCACCAAAAAAAAAAGTCCTCGCCTGTATGGAAGAGGTAAAACCAAAAACATCAGAAGCACCTAAAATGCATAAAAATTGACTAGCAAAAAAAACGTTTTGAGCAGTGAAAAAGTTTCTTGTTAGGTGTATTGCATCAAATGGAGAATACTTTTAAGGTGACTGAAATTTAAACATATGAGAATATACACAATTGTTTAATAAATAAATTCTGGGGTTTTTTTTGGGTCCCCCCTCATATAGTTGCAATTTTAAGTGATGATTGGATCAGAAGAACTAATATTATTAAAATGAAAATGCTGCCCAAAGCAATCTATGGATTCCATGCAATCTTTATCAAAATATCAATGTCATCTTTCACAGAATTAGAAAAAACTATAAAATTCATATGAAACCAAAAAAGAACCTGAATATTTAAAACAACCCTAAGGAAAAAGAACAAAACTGGAAACATCACACTCTCTGACCTCAAATTCTACTACAAAGATATAGTAACCAAAATAGAATGGCCCTGGTATAAAAATAGACACATAGATCAATGGAGCAGAATAGAGAACCCAGAAATATAGTCACATATCTACAGCCAACTGATCTTTCACAAAGTGGACAAAACACATACTGGGAAAAGGACACCCATTTCAATAAATTGTGCTAGGAAAATTGGATTGCCATATGCAGAAAGATGAAACTGGACCCTTATCTCTGACAATATATAAGTATCATCTAAAGATGAATTAAAGACCTAAATGTAAGACCTGAAACTATAAAAATACTAGAAGAAAACCTAGGGAGAACACTTCTGGACATTAGCTAGGCAAAGAGACCTCATAAATGCAAGCAACAATAATAGATAAATGGAATTTCATTAAAACAAAAAGTTTTTGCACAGCAAAAGAAATTACCAACAGAATGAAGAGACAACCTGCAGAATGGGAGAAAATATTTGCAAACTATGCATCCAAGAAGAAACTAATATCCTGAATTAACAAGGAACTCAAAATACTCAACAACAAAAACTAAATAATTTCATTAAAAAGTGGGCAAATAACAAGAATAGACATTTTTGAAAAGAAGATATACAAATGACCAGCAAGCATATGAAAAAAAAGCTCGATTACTAACCATCAGAGAAATGCAAATTAAAACCACAATGAGATATCATCTTACACCAGTCAGAATGGTTATTATTAAAAAGACAAAAAATAACAGATGCTGGTAAGGATATGGAGAAAAGGGAACACTTAATTCACTGTTGGTGGGAATGTAGATTATTACGACCTCTATGGAAAATAGTATGGAGAGTTCTCAAAAAACTAAAAATAGAACTACCATTTGATTTAGCAATCCCACCATTGTGTATCTATGCAAAGGGGGAAAAAAACATTATATCTAAAAGATATCTTCATTTCTATGTTTATTGCTACACTATTCACAATAGCAAAGATAGGGAATCAACCTAAGTGTCCATCAATGGAAGAGTGGATGAAGAAATTGTGTTATACATATACAACGAAACACTATTCAGTCATAAAAAAGAATAAACTCGTGTCTTTTGCAGTAGCATAAATGGAACTGGAAGCCGTTATCTTAAGTAAAACAACTCAGATACAGACATTCAAATACCACATGTTCTTATTTATAAATAGGAGCTAAATAATGTGCACACATGGACATAGAGCTTGGAATGATAGAGACAGAAGACTCAGAAAGGTAGGAGGAGGGTGGATGATGAGAAATTACTTAATGGGTAAGATGTACATTATTTGGATGATAGTTACACTAAAAGCCCAACTTCAGCATTACTCAATCTATCCATGTAACAAAATTGCATTTGTACCCCTTAAATCTACACAAGTTTACAAAAAGAAAAGAAAATGCCTTCTGCTTGTGAATGTTCCACTGCAAAGAACTTTTAATTTAGATAATTATAAAAATAAAAACACAAAATTAAACATTCTCACAGAACATTTGGATTCTGAAGAACATGTTCACAGATTGCAGCCTGAGAAACATTGAAAAGAATATTCAATGGTTCCAGTCTGCTGTTAATGAGATGTGTGACCCCTGGAAAATTGCTTAACATCTCAGGGCCCGTGTCTTGGCCTTCTTCCTGCCTCTGTCAAGCAGAAATAATAATGATGCTACTTCACAGGGTCATAATGAGGACTAAATAAGGTGCATAGGAACGTAGAGCTGTAGTTGGCATTTGTTAAGTACAAAATAAATGTTGGTTATCACTATTATTGTTGATACTGTCGTGAGAGGACTTCTGAGGTCCCTTGTGGTTTTACAATTCTATATATTTTGAGGCACTATCTTCATGGAAAACTAAGTGAAGGGGTCAGAGACTTCCGCAAATCTAGGAGTGGAGAAAACAGAGGCAGCCAGGATAGGAAAACATGACCATGGCATGTTCCAAGCAAAAGTGAAGTGTTACAGTGGAAGAGTGGCCTCCACTCAGTGCATTCTTTGCAAAACTACCACAAAGACACTGGTGGTGGTTTGAAAGTGGATTTTTCTTTGAAAGTAAAAGCTATCCAATTGAATAATCGCTAAGGGAGAATCTGAACTCATGGCAAATCAGCCTTCACCCAAAAATCTACCAAAAGATATAAAGGGATATCCTTGAGGAGATTTATGTACCAAGATCACATTATTGCAACTTTTACAACATTGCCAGAATTTTTCTAACAGTGCCTTGGCCCTAGAAGATTAAAGACTATTCTGATAGTGCACTTGGCTAACATATCAGATCAGGTATTGATTTCTAGCAAAGTACTTCAGCTTACTAGGTCTCAGTTTTCTCAAATGTGGAATGGGTAGAAGAGTATTTAACTTGCTGCCAAGCTACATCTACTAAATACTCTGTGGCTTTTGGCTGAGAGAAGCCATAACAAAGCTGGTTATCTATTAAGTGCATTCATTATGTGGTATCATCATAAAGAAGCCTCTAGGGCAATGACATGAGCATTTTTCCTATCAAAAGGCTCCTCTGACATCTGCACGGAGCTCATGACTGTACCATGCGTTACTTGGGCACTTATCAATTATTCTTATTACACTTTGTAGACAGGAAGGAACATGTTAGAACATGGAGAAAGTGAACTGAAGCTGATGCCTCATGTCTGCTTTTGATTTACCACATTTGGGAAAGCAATTACAGAACCCACATATTTCTTTCTATTCTTTCCCAAGCAATTTCACACATGCTAAGAATCATGGCTTTTCTGCTGCCTAAGGTTGATGTATATCGTGTAGTCAGTGTTGCTGAAGCTATTTCTCCTGGGTTCACCAAGCAGTGTCTCAAACATGCAGTCCCCTCAAGTGATGGCGAGCAAAGAGGGCCAGTAACCAAGCTGAGTTCTCTCCTCTCTGTAGAAGAACAGCTGCAGTCCCACATGTCCAGTTATACCATCCGCTCTGAAACACACCCCCTCAGCCTTCACGGATGGTGCCTGCCCACTAATTAATTACCCAGCACAAACCCCCATATGTGGTGCAGATATGGAAGCATCAGGATAAAACTCAGCATATTTTAATAGACTTTCCCCCATAGACCATTGTGTGTTAGAGATATAATTTCACAAAAATAGAGATGTTAGAACTATAAGAGATCCAAAAAAAGATACAGCATCCCACCTTAGTAAATGAGGTGGCATTGTCTTCATTTTACAGATAAAATAATAACTGAGATCCAAAGTCATAAAGCTGTTTTGTATCAAAGTCCAGCAGCTTCAGTTCTCTTGCTTGCTCATGCAGAGATTCATTTACTTCATTTGGTTAGACTCATGATAAATCTGACTTTGGTGTTTACTTAATAACAAGCCACATGGCCAAGACTTTCTACACTACTTTTGATGTGATTTCTTCACATCTTTTCTCAGCTTGGTATTATCTGCTTCATTACTAAAGTCCCAGACCCTAGGGTGAGAGCCAGTCCTGTGCAGCAGGGCTTATGCAGGGCCTAGCTGAATGCCCCACTTTGAGCTGGTATTAAAGGGAAATGATGATGAGCAGGGTTTGGGGAGCTGGTGGAAACTCATAGAGGCGTCCAAGATGCAGTGTGGCTGTCCAGCCTAAAGTGTGTTCATAGGCAAGAAAGGTCTTTCCCCAGTTGCCCAAGGGTTGTTTTTTTTAAAATCGAAGTCAAGAAAGACTAGTCAACATGCTCTCAGTAACACACAATGGTTATGAAGCATTGAGGAGAGAAGGGCCAGGAAAAACCAATCTGCTTGGGTTCTTCTTTCCGTACCTACCTTGTGATTCCGCCCATGCTTATCCAACAAGGAGATGATGGACTTGATGTGGCCCTCTGCTATCAAATTTAAGGCTTCTGGGCTTTCAGTCAAGATGCAGTGCAAAACTTCCAAGATACCTAAGAGAATGCCCCCAAAATCATTTGGACATTAAATAGTCTGTAGACGTGACCATAATTTAGAAACCTGAGAGTGTAAAGATCATCCTGAAGGGACAAAATATCACCAATTTTTTGAATCTATAAAATATCTCCAGCCAGAAGAAAGATACATTCATCTCTGGTAGACTTCAGGAGCCCCCAAGGGTCAAACAATCTATAATTTAGAGACGGGTTCAATTTGGCACTAACCCCATCTCCCTCTTCCTGGACAAAAATACAATTGTTACATGTCCAAATATACAGAAACAGCTACAAATGAAAATTTTAATCCGATCAAACCAAACAATACTTCATTCAAAATAAATATAAAATAGATGTCCAGTTTACTATAAGTTTTGAAGGTCATTTAAATAATTTAGAAAATATTCAGAGTTCTTGCCAAATAAGAATTTTTCTAGGAACCATCCCAGAAATTACTTTTATTTTAGGTGTACTAGTGTATCAAACAAACTATAAGTTCACAAAATAAAGTCTATTCATCTTCTTCTCTTGACACACTGTATAGTTTATATTAAGTGAAGGTTTAAAAAACCTAACTAGTCCCCTGAAGCCTGGCTTATACAAGGGTAACATCAGCATGGAAATTCAAAGGCAGTAGTTGGTCAATAGCATTTTTTTCCCAAGAAAATTCCTCTTGATTCTGTTTCTTAATTCTGACTCAATGCGTTCATAAATTTCCCTGAAATGTAACCTAGACTGTGAGAGGAGGCATTGAAGAAAAGAGAGGCTTAGAAACACATGTGTGTGGGTAGATGGTCCTTGGGGGAACCTCCCTTGGCCGATCTGTTAAAGCACCTACCACCTCTAGACTATGAGAAAAGCATTAAAACTCTTCAGCTTCCCCAAGAGGGGGCTACACCTGCCATGCTCACTCAGCTTGAGGAAGCAAACTTCTGAGCCTTGTAGCAGAATCACTTACCAATGATGACCACGCTCTTGGCTCAAGTTTTCTGTGAGATATCAAGAAGGGCTATAGATATAATGTGAAGGGTGATTTGGGGCAGAGGGAATGAGTATCATTGTTTTTCTCTTATTCCATAGTTGTCCTTCAATCCTGCTTCTAACTAAAATAGGCCAGTGTCAAAACAGAGTTTAAAATCCAGAAAATGAGAGTACAATGGTAGTTAGAAGGAAACTAGGACCACTGGGTCGGGGAGTAATTAAAGGACCCAGGGTGTGAAGATGAAGGCATAAAGCAAAAAATTAAACAAAAAAGGAAGGATTGTTGAAGTCTGGGTTAGAGTTGTTAAGTTGTATGGGTGCCAGGAAGCCTTAGGACTTTCCTTCCTTCCTTCCCTCCCTTCTCTTTCTTTCCTTCTTTCCTTCCTTCCTCCTTCCTTCCTTCCTCCCCTTCCTTCTTCCCTTCCTTCCTCTTTCTCTCCCCTCCCCTTCTTTCTTTCTTCTCTTTCTTCCCTTCCTTCCTTCCTTTTTCATAATTATTTGAAGATTGTTTGCAATCCAGTGGAAAAAATTCAACTGTGTTTTTTTTCCCCAGAAAGAAAAAAAAAAAAAAAACACTTCATCTTCTCTAGTTATAGTTTCCTGTCAATCCTTACCTGAGGAAGATTCTAGTCTGTCCAATTTACTAATGAGCCAATCAAGGTTATTGGAAAATTGAGCACAATTGTTTCTGTTTCCACGAATGAGAGCAGCTGCAAAAGAGAAGGCATTCGATCATGGAGGTTAAAGAATATATTGGCAGGCATGAGAACTTGAAAAACTGCTTAGTAACTACAAGGAACAGAATGATAATCATACTCAGCCTAGCCCTTTGGTACAATTCTGTTTCTATATCTAGAAAAGTAAATATTGAATACTCACTCACTCACTTAAAACTATTTTCAGAGAATCTGCTATGTACCCGGCATCTGTCCAGTTGCTGGGAACAGAAAAATGGGGCAGAGGAGGCATTTCTCTGCCATTATCAAGTAGGCGACGGAGACAATAAACACACACACATTAATAAAATTACTTCAGATGGTGTTAAGCAAGAATTTAATGTCTATTTAGTTACTGACTTAAAAACTCAACTTCTTGCAATGTTTTCTTGAATCTAACTAGAGATTGCTATTCTTCAGTGCTTAAGGAAGAGATCGCAATGAAAACAGCTGGAAAGGTTGTTGTACACTACTAGATAAAAAATAACAGCATGTAACTATAAAATATAAAAAAAAGTATATGACAGTAGTTCTCCAGGTGTGGTCCCAGGATAAGGGATACCAGAGTCACCTGTTATAAATGGAAATTTTAAGGCCTCATCTCAGATCAAATGAATTACAAATGCTGAGGTGGAGCCCAGTATCTGTGTTTTAGCCACCCTCCAGCTGATTTTGATGCCTGTTTATATTTGAAAACCACTGGCAGGTGATATTGCAAAGGGAGGGAGAGGCTATGCTATCATTAGTGTTTTGCATATCTAGACCAACTAATCTTCCCTTCACAGGGCAAAAACAGTACATGAAAATCGAGCACAAGTCTACATAAATTGATTAGCCCCTGAGTACCTTGCTCTTCACGTGGTAGGTTTGCAGGGATTGAAATTTTACCGAGGCTGAGAGATGGCAAATTTAGGATAAGAAAAGGCCTTCTCTGAAGTCTCTGCTTTGTATCTACACAGGCAGTGCAGGGCAAAACTCAGGATGAGCTCACAATCTGCTTTTCAGAAGGTCAGCTGCAGCAAGAAGGTCAAGCATGAGAGTCCTGGAATCGGACTGCTGGGTCTCAAGTTATAGCTCCATCACTTACTAGATGTACAGGCTTGGGTGATGAGCATCTCTGTACATCAATTTCTTTATCAGCAAAATGAGGATAATAAAATAAACTATGCCTCAAAGTGTTGCTCTGAGGATCAAAAGAGATATTGCCCTGCTTGACACACAGAGTTCAAGAAATATTAATTATTATTGTTGTCATAATAACTACTGGATTTGAGTTGTGTCACTACAAAATACTAGAGTTTGCAGAGACTTTACTGCAGCAATCCCCCACCTTTTTGACATCAGGGTCTGGTTTTATGGAAGACAATTTTTCTATGGACTGGGAAGGGAGGAGATCACCAGGTATTAGATTCTCATAAGGAATACGCAACCTAGATCCCTCGCATGCGCAGTTCACAAAAGGGTTCACTCTCCTATGAGAATCTAATGCTGCTGCTGATCTGAGAGAAGATGGAACTCTGCTCACCCGATGCTCCTGCTTTGTGGCCTGGTTCCTAATTGGCCATGGATCAGTACCAGTCTGCAGCCCGGGGGTTGGGGACCCTGCTTTATAGGGGCACACAATATAGTGGCAGTCTAATTAGTCTGAACCCTAGCATGGAGAATAGGTCCAGACTGACTTCTCTGGGTTCCCCTCTGGCCTACTGAACTTTCGATGGACTTCCTCTTAGTGGAACACCCACTTCAGAGCAAAGCCCTAAAGTACTGCCTTAGCATGGAGTCTGAGCAACTCTGTGCAACAACTTTCTTGCTCAGGCTGATGCAGTCTTCTCACTGCTTCACTTCCATGTGTTGGAGAACCAGGTCTATGGGATGGAACCTGTTACAGCAGCCACCAGAACATCACCACACACTCCATATTGTGAGAGGAAAGGCTGGGTGCCGGAACATTTCTACTTCCTGCCTTTTTCTTCCCACCAAAACAAAACAGATAAGAAGCCAAAGCAGTGAGGATCATGACTGACTAAAAAGTGGACAGGGCACAGAATTTAAGAGAATGACTATCCTCAGCTTTGCAGAAGTTCAGAACCAGAAGCTGCCATAAATGTGCTCTAGTCTTGTATCCTCATTTAAAGATAAGGAATTGAGGTTCAGGGAGTGTGACTATCAAGGGTTTTATAGGTAGTTTTGGCAAAACTGATAACACTATCTGCTTCCACTTGCTGCTGACTTCTTGTTCTACTAGTTAACAGAATGAACAGCTGGGTTAAAATCAAGTGGGTAACAGAAGGCTTCGAAGGAATGAGGCCAGATGAACATCTTGGGTTCTCACGTGGAAATCCTTGGAATCTTCCCAGGGGGAGGGCACTGGAGGTGTACTCACCCAACAATTTGTAGAGGAGGTTCAGAATTTCTTTCCAGGCCGTGCCACTCTCTTCCCTTGCAATCCCTGCAAAGTGTGCCACGCTATTGTAGATATTTAAGCGATCAATGCAATTTAAGACAAGGGCCAACATTCCCTGAGAAGGAAAGGCGATAAAAAAGTAAACATCCCTGATAGAGAAAGCAGCATCCCTTTTGCTCCTTCCCCTCCTATCCCATTCACCTTTTAAAGTTGATAACTGTAATATGCAAATAGAACTTCATGGTGCCAGTTGGGTTTTGTGTTTTTTTCTCCTAAAAACAAAATATGCATTTTTATGCCTCAGAGACCTAAATAGCATCCATTTGAGGAGTGAGTCAGCAGTCTCTTCTGATGGGTTTGCCCCCACGTGTTTAACTCAATCCAAGGACATATTGAGAAAGAGGGAATGTGAATGAGTCTCACAGAAACCTGCTTATGGTCTGGTGTGAAGTGATTCTGACTCATCCAGAAACAGCTTTGGATATAGTACCTACTTTTCTCTTAAATCTCAAACAAGTTCAAGAAGTTCCATTCAGATACACAAGACAACCATGCTTGCTCCCATCCTCCTCTCCCCCAAAGGTAGGATTTAGAGACAATAAGACCAAAAGAGGATTTTCAGCTACTTTTCCAGCCAACTTATAATACTATGCCACCCAGTAAAAACACCTGAGTTAGTTGTTCTTAGCGCATAAGAGGGAGAGGGTAAATGCAATTTCAATAGCCTATATGGCATTCAGGATGCCTCTGGGGCCAAAGTCCATTTAGGTCAGAAGACTGGGCTGGGATGGTTCTACATTTAATACTACCAATTTTGGAAATGCCCAAGGGACAAACCCCGTTTCCAGGCATGTTGGGCCCAGAAGTACAACCATGGCTTGTTAGCACCAGACTATCACATCCAAGTTTGAGGAGTTCTTATAACTTGTCTTCGGTCACACACAGCCAGGGATGGAGCTAGAATGAGGGCCTGGGTCTCTTAAGCCCTTAACTGGTACTTCTCTCATGTCCAGGACCCACCCCTAGTGACTCAGATGCTCAAGTCTGGCATAGATCTAGCATCTTCGGGATCTCTCAAACCAGCTTCTCGGGCATTCCTGATGTGGTAGAATCCAGACACTTGTATTTTTCAAACAGGTTTCCTAGATAATTCTGACATTTCCCCAAATTTGGGAATCACAGCCAATGTCGTGTTCTGACAGATGAAATGTATTGAAATGGATTTTGGATACACATGTGGTAAAGCTTTAAAATGTAATCTGATTTGAATGTGTCAACCAACATAACCGGTGTCAGCTGGCAGGGAAGTTCTGCTTCCAATGAATCTTTTTATTCCTAACTTCCAAATCTCTTCTTTGTCCTCTGGCTCTTTCTTAAGCACGTGCATGCATAGAGACAATGCAGTCATAGGGATATTTAGATCTGGACATAAAGAGAATCGCAACTTTTCACTTTTTTGACTTACCTCTTCCTTGAAAAGATTCTGTCTGTTTTTGAGTGAGCGGAGCTTGTTCTGCTTATCTTCATGCCGCATCTCTTCCTCTGGGGGCTGGAAGTAGGCAATTAAGTCCTGTAGGGTCTGCAGGACCTCTTCTATAGGTAGGGCGATGGGGGCGGCTGTGCGATTGTTTCCACTAGAAACCATAAGATTGACACAGCTCAGGCACCAGCCAGCATCAGGGCCATGACAAACCTCTCCTGTGTCCTGCTACTAATGGCCCTACACTGTGCACCATGACTATGCCCTGGAGGTGTCCACTGTGCCAATAGCTACAAAATGAAGTTTGTCAACCAACAGAGCAAGATAAGAGAATATTTATGTTTGATTTGAAAACTATTTCATAAGTGAAGGGAAATGACTCCTTTTAGCACCTTTTCAAGCAACTTATAACTCATCCTGTTAAAACTGATATTTCAGCACCTAGCATCAAATGGATCCTCACTCAATGGCTAATTAAGATTTTTATGTAATCTAAAGAGGAAATTTCAACTGTGATTGCAACAGTGACTTTTCTGTCACGGGTGCTTCTCTTTAATTTACCCCTGGTTTTCTGCCACATTTTTTCTCTTTAAATAAAAACACTTTAAAAAATGACAAACTTAACCCATAGTTCTCTTAAGCTACCACACACCTTATTCTTGGAATTGGTTACATAACGCTGGAGGTTTTCCATTACTGTGTCTCTCCCTCAGTTCATATCCTTGTTTTCTCTCTGTTCATCTCTCCTCGTGCACCCTCTCACCATATGTCTCTCTTGAGTCTTCTGATAACTCTGCATGCTTTTCTCATGTTTTCATGTGTGGCACGCACATGTCTGCATTCCCTCAACCCTGTTTGTTGTTGTCTCCTCTGTTCTCTTTATCTGTGGTCTCTCCTTCTGACCTTTCTCTCCCAGTGTTCCCTCTCTCTGGATATGCCCCCTTCTGTTTTCAGTGTCTCCCACCTCTCAATATCCTTCCTCTCTGCTTTGGTGTCTGCTCCCTTTGTTTCTCAGTGTCCCCCCATCCCATGTTACCTGCCCACCATCTCTTTCCATTGTGTTCCTCCTATTCAATATGTGTGTCTCTGTCTCTTTCTGTTTTCATTTCCCAAAATTTTTGAAATTAAATCCTTTCAACACAGAGAGGCCAAAAACCATCAGAGATAACAGAATAGGCCTTCATGTTTCCATCTCCTTAAGGGGTACATTTATGAGTCTCTCAGAGAACAAAGGCTAAGAAGAGGAAGGGGAAATGGACCCAGATGTGGAATTTCATCATCAGAACCCAAGTGACTGAAAACGGACTGAATATGCAACCAACATTCTGACTTCTTTATGATGGTCAGTTTCTAAGGAGTTCTTCTAGGCACTTGCAGTGTATTTGCTTAGTCAAACCCTGTTACATACTAATCTGAATACATACTAATCTGAACACACTGTCATCTTGGCCCAAAACAAAGACTCAACATGGTGTGAAAACACCCTGGTTTTAAGATGATAACAATTCCAATTTTGTTTTAACAAATGCCAAGTGCATATAATGAGGACAGAACACCAGTGGATTGTAAGGCTATCAGGCAATGGGTTGGGGAAGTGCTCCTCAGAGTGTACTCAACTCCTGGCAGTGCCTGGTACATGGTACATCCTCCGTTAGTGTTGCAAATGACTACTTGGGATATTATTGGACACAAAAATAGTGGGGAAGAGAATGCCAAGAGGACATGAGATGAAGACTTAGGAATACAAAACTCAATCTGATATGACTTCCCACTTCTAAATGTAGTGAAGGAACCAATACATTTTCTTCAATATTTTGGTCCAGTTTCAAGGCTTGCTTTTTTTTTCTTTTGGTTTTACTAGAGACACTGTGGCTAGTTAAGAGCAATTATTTACGTAATAGAAAAAGATAAAAGCAAGAGACTTATAGGCATTTTTGTAACTTACTGGGGCAGCATATACTATAAAAGGGGTTGGAAATCTCAGGTGCCAGTCTTATCACTGCCATTAATAAAGTGCTATTTGGACACCTCCAAGCCCCTTGTGTTTCAATTTTACACGTGAAAAATAGGAGGGGTATACTCTATGATTACCAGAATCTTCAAGTTCAACTTCTTGCTCTGTGGGTTATCATTGCGGTATAACTTCATCTTGGCCCTTGAAGAAACATCAATGTAATAGTCCTCCACTGTACTGAGACAGATCCATTGTTCCCTTAAAAAAGAGCACATATCATGGCTGGGCGCGGTGGCTCATACCTATAATCCCAGCACTTTGGGAGGCCGAGGTGTGAGGATTGCCTGAGCCCACGAGGTTGAGACCCACCTAGGCAACTTGGCAAGACCTCATCTCTACAATAAATCAAAAAATTAGCTGGGCATGGTGGCGCGTGCCTGTAGTTCCAGCTACTTGGAAGGCTGAGGCAGACAAATTACCTGAGCCCAGCAGGTTGAGGCTGTGGTGGCTGTGAGCGTGCCACTGCACTCCAACCTGGGCAATGGAGTGAGACTCCCATGCAAAAAAAAAAAAAAAAAGAGCACATATCACATGCTTGGCATGGGGGACACTGGTGAAAATAGACATGACCTCTGAATAGCTTCATGGTGTTTACTTTCTACTCTAGAACCTTAAGAATAAAGGCAGGTGGACAGGGATAAGACAATGCCTCAATTCAGATATAACTACAATTGGCACCTAACTCACTCCAGCCATGTTCAACTCTCTCCAGTCTGTGTCCCTCTAGATTCTTGGGCCTTTGTCAATGAATTCTTTTTTTAAATTTAAGTGAGATCCTGGGTGATTCTGAATATTTACCATACCATGACCATAACATAATTATTTATGTATTGTTTCTCTCTTAAGGTTAAACTCAGAGGGCTGCTGACAGTATCTCTTCCTCAGCAGGATTTCTGCGACTCCATAATCTATCACATTGTTAATTTGATAGGACAGTTCCCAGCAACCCTACAGAGGATGATAAGACAGCATGATGAAATTTTAACCCTTTCTTTTTCATTGTTCTTTCTTGTTCCTTCTCTGTTCTTTTAACCTTAATTTGCTCTCTCAGAAGGCCAGCCTTCCTTCTGGTTTCCATGTGGACACAGCATTCACTGTCGGTTTCTCAAAAGACATGGGTGAGAAGAATCTACTGCCAAATATTTTTTTCTCTTTTACTTCCTAGCTCTTGTAAAATCTGAGTACTAAGACTTTTGTAGCCTACACAACTGCTGTGCTGCTTTTCTTTTTTTTTAATTAGTCCTCCTTTTTTTCTAAAACATCAAGTGACCGGAAGAATCAAGAATTTTTCCAATGAATGTGGACTTTCAGAACAGCTGAGTGAGGAGCTTAGTAAATCCTCTTTTACACAAAACAATGGTAAAATTGGACAAAAGAATTAAAAACAACCACTTCAGGACTCTGGAAATTGAGCAAAGGTATATCAAGAAGAATTGGTTTTTAAAAAAATTAATGAGCCTTAGGAAGAACAGTGGAAGTCTATAGTGTAGTGCTTCAGCCCATGGAAGTTTACATCTCTTCCCCTGCTTCATGGCAAAGAAAATCTAACAGTGTGGGGGAGGCCATGTGCACAGCCACACACAAGCTCAGGAAGGACTGGAGAGTGCCCTAGCTGTCTATTCATCTCTGGCTGAATGTCAGTCTCCGTGAAAGCATAAAGTAAAACCCAGGACAGAACTACCAACGGCCTAAACCTTTAACGTGTTATCCAGCCCACACAAATCCACCAGCAAAAGACATGAATAGACACTTCTCAAAAGAAGACATAGGGGCAGCCAACAGATACATGAAAAAGTGCTCAGTCTCATTCATCATCAGAGAAATGCAAGTCAAAACCACATTGAGATACAACCTAACCCCAGTAAGAATGGCCATTTTATAAAACAAACAGATGCTGGTGAGGATGCAGAGAAAAAGGAACACTTCTACACTACTGGTGGGAATGCAAACTAGTGAAACCTCTCTGGAAGACAGTGTGTAGATTTCTGAAAGAACTAGAAATTGACCTTCCATATGACCCAGAAATTCTCCTATTGGGAATATACCCAGAGGCACTCAAATCATTGTACAAAAAAGATACCTGCACATGCATGTTTGATGCAACTCTATTCACAATAGCAAAAACATGGAACCAACTACTCTGCCCATCAAACTGAACTGGATAAAAAAATGTGGTACATATACACAATGGAATATCATGTAGCCATAAACAAGGACAAACACATGGACTTCACAGCAACTTGAATGGATTTGGAGTCGATCAAACTCAGTAATCTATCACAGAAACACAGAACAGAGTACCATATGTTCTCACTCTTAAGTGGACCTTGAATAATTACCAAAATACAATAAGAAAGGGAGGGCAGTAGTGGGAAACTGCCGGGGGTAGGGGGGATAGGATTGGCAGTTGAGGGAAACTGCTAGGGGAGGGAGGGACACACCTCTTCAACAAGGGTACCTGCATCATCAATGTTTGTATACCTAACCCTGAACTGTACCCCACATCTTTTAAAAAAAACAACTCAATTCTATATACCAGTATTTCTATATACCAGCAATAAAAAAATCTAAAATAAAATTAAGAAAATAATTTGTAGAAACTAATTCAATAATTCAATTTGTCATAGCATTAAAAAATCAAATACATAGGAATAAATTTCATAGAAATGTAAGACATACTGAAAACTTCAATATCCTATGGAAAGGAGTTCAAGGAGGATAAATAAGTAGAGAGACATTCCACCTGAGTAGATTGGAAGACTTAATAATACTAAAATTATAGTCCTCCAAAACCAATCTTTAGATTCAATGTATACCTATCAGCAGGCTTTTTTGTTGTTGCAGAAATTGACAAATTTAAAGTTGGCATGGAAATGCAAAGAACCCAGAAGTGCCAAAATAATTTTGAAAAGAAGTACAAAATTAAAGAACTCATTCTGCATAATTTCACTACCTACTACAAAGTTACATTAATTAGATAGTGTTGGTTTGAAATAATGACAGGCATATAGATCAATGAAATAGAATTAAGAGTCCAAAGATAAATCTTTACATTTACGGTCACCTGACTTTTGACAAAGATGCCAAGGCAATTTGATGGGGGGAAAGGTAGCCTTTCCAGCAAACTGTGCAGGGATGAT